TTGTGTGCTAGGTGCCACAATAGCACCCTGTAATGCCAAGGACAAAAATGAGAGGTAGAAATAAGTTAGACTGCAAACAATTGGTCCCCCATTATTTCTGTCTTGGCAGTTTGTGTCCTGAGACAGCAACGACAAAGCTGATGTGACAAAAAGATCGAGATTTTAATGAAAGGATGTGTTTTCTTGACACAGCAACAATATATAGTTGATCCTGAACTCAAGTTTTTGCAGTTGTGTGTGTGTGTATACTGCTGACTTCATGTATTTCTGCAAGTAGGTCCACCGACCTTGAACAAATAAGGCTGAGTGTATATGCGCACACATAATGTAAGGCTGGTGAATTGTGAGGGAGCATTGAAGCAATTACAACAGAAAAGGATGCCTAGGGCCATTGCAGCAGTAATGTAAAAGCTGGCACACAAACAGGAAGATAAAAAAATAAAAGCTAGATTTTGCCCTAGGCTCATTCTTACAGTCCACTAATGCTTTTCAGAGGATTCAAGGTACGAACGATTAAACTGCAGTCCTGTACAACCAGTACAGTCGAAGTGAGAGAAAGCTCAGCAGCTCCCAACAATCTCAAATTAATCAGGGACCACTGATATGGTTTCTATTCGGGAGTCAATATTGAAAAAAGTGTGAGGCTGGTAAAACAGCCTATATGGCAATGACTTCTGAGATGTCGGTACCATACCCTTTAGATAAACAACAATCAATAAAAAGAAAAACACTAATAAAACCAAAATAAATAGATTTTTTTAAATGTAATATTTCATGCATAAAATGTACAATAGGTTGATTTTATTCATTTATATTTGTCCCTTATTTTTCTGGATTGTGTTTGACTCCAGGCTTTACATTGACAGTTCGGCTTGAGCTAACAAAACAATCACCAAAGTAAAAAACACAAAATGTTAACTGCATAATTATGTCGGAGGAATGAGAGTGAGACGGACACTGATTCATTACAGTACCTCAGCTGACTTGTGAGCTGCCTACAGACGTCCAACAGCACAAATGTTTACATGAAGCAGCCGAACGCTGTTATGTTGTCAGATCTACTGTGAGAGGATGAGAAGTTGGTTCACAATAAGTCTTGTCCTACATGTCTTATTTTGTAGGGCCCACGGTGCGATCACTAATGAAAATTAAGGATTACTCGAGGATATAGCACTCAATTCACCAGAGAGTATATCATCACAATGCACAACACATGATGGGATTTTAACAATTACTCAAAATTGCTGGAGGAATTTCTTCTATGAGAACTGAGTAAAAATTGCTTAAAAGATTCATACGTCGGCGACAACAAGCAGCCTATTCCAAGCCTGATATCAGTGTGTGTGTGTCTCTACAGTATGTGTCACACCGCCCTTGGACATGGGCTTGCGGAATGTGTTGAAAGGAAGGCAAAACACTGGGTTGCCACAGCAACTAGCAAAGACCGGGGGAAACAGATGGGGGTGGGGTGGTGGTGGGTGTTATCATGAGACGAGGTGAAAGAAAGCAAATGCAATAAAAAAAAAAAAAAAAAAAAAAAAAAAAAAGGTAGGACGGACGAAGTTGAATATATTGTAAGAGAGAAAAGAAAGGGTAAGGAAGATAGTTAGCGAGAGACTGGAAACTGACGTGGGAGGACGGGAAATGAAAGAGGAACATGAGGAAAATGTAAAAAATATTGAACAGTCTACATACATCATCTGAAATTTTTTTTAAATGTAGTAGGTGTCTCCATCTTTTCTTGGTGTGAGGAGGATGTCTCGACGTCTTCTGGTTACTTTAAGGGGAAGTTGAACGTAGAGCGGAGTTTAAACAAAGCTCAGGCTGGTCTCTGTCTGTTTCTCGTCTGCTGTCACATTCTCTCCATTCTCTCAGAAATAATCAGCTTTCTTTCTCGGCCCCTGTGATTCCTCCTGGCTTTTATATCCAACATACTACATCTCTCTGCTTAGCACTTTCTTTTATTTTTGTCTGACACCTTTCTGTCATCCTTCATCTGCATACTCAGTGTAGTAACTAGTTATAACTCTGGATATTTTATTTTAAATTTGTTAACAGTCACTTAACTGTAATCACTAACATAAACAAATAGTACTATGTATCAGAATATGGAAGTATGATGTATGAAATCAAAATGCTTGCTTCTCCTTGGACACTGCCATAAACTCCATTATATTAGTGGGTGAACCAGTTATTAGATTTTGTGCAGATGTTCATGGTTTTAACAATATCTTTAGCAAGATGAAACGCACCACAATAGAAAGAGCAGAACTCCTCTATGCTTATTAATGTGACAGGCTGGGTATAGGTCTGTGTTGGAAATTTGGTCAAAGTGTAGAATATTTTTCTCGGACAAATCTGTGAAGATTTTGAATATCACACAGCTCCATGATGCAGCATAATATTGCATCTGAATTAGCAGAAACTAAGACTTTAATGACACAACCACCCGTGTTTACCACAATGTGTTCTGCGTTTTAGGGGCGTTAAACTTATGAATGCTTTTAAGCTAAAAGGTATTAATATGGATGGATACATCAGCCTTAGATCCACTGCTGCATCTCAGTGTAGAAATACAATACCAAGATGTTAAACACACACACACACATCATTTCTAATCAAAAGATGTACTGTTATTTCAGTCCTCTTAGTATCAATAGCTTCATTGTGATTAAAAATATACTGTGCCTTTGGATAAGGTTAAGGCCAATGACGGCTCAGTGTGAGTGTGACAAAGCCCCGTCCACTTGTCCTATCCATCTGTCTGTCTGTCTATCTATCTGTCTATCTATGTATCTGTCTGTCTGTCTATCTATCTGTCTATCTATCAATCTATCTATCCATATATAGATGTGTGTGTAGCACAGAGGGACAGAGACATTCATAGAGACAATATGAGCCACATTTTTCTCGAATGTTCATAAAAGACTGGATGTGAATTTTGACCTCACAGAGTCAACCCTGCATTCACTGACCTACTCAACTTCACGTCTGCCATCGTCGCCATCAAACACACACATTACCATGGACTGAAGCGTTTGAATCACATGACGTGCGCGAACACACTTCTAATACTGTGTTGCTATAAATAAAATAAAAGGATGTCATACACAGTGCACCATTTCTTGATGTGATTCAATATTTCCCATAGGAAGGAGGTTTTCATGTTATGGTAGTAAGCTCTCCATCATCCAACACTGCATTTACATACTATTATATGAGTATGATTTAAGAAGTCGTTTACGACACATGATGCATTTGAATGTTCCTCTTTATACTTAGAAGTTCATCTTTAATTCATAAACAAGTTTATAAATGTAAGATGAAAAAATGCAGTCTCTGTATGAAAAACCTGCGATCCATTTCAATGTCCATTCACACTCGTACACTAAATGTCTTGAAAACTCTAGTGGCGTGTGTTTACGAGAACCAAGGGACATCGGCGTTGTAATGCAACACTGCGTCTCCATGACCATTACATACCTAATTAACCTCTTTCTATTGCTCTGTGTTGAGATACAACTGATGCTCTTCAGTGGATTAGACTCATAATCCTCAATTAGCGTTTCATACGTACACTGAACTTGTGCGCTTTGGGATTTTGAGGATTTAGAGGCATAGCTAACTTAGAATGAAGGAATTTTGGCACAAGGAGGACAGGGTTGGTTGGCAGCCGTTCCCATTAACTTCCATATCAGTGCTGATGTAGACAGTTTAATAAATAACAGACTCAGGCTGATGATGATGAAGAGCTGACACTCAATGACGAGGTCGATGCCAAAGATAGCTGATCATGCTCAAGTCCAGCTAGAGGGAAAGACTGTATAGACCTTTAAAATGTGACGCAAAAGCATTGAATTAATATTTTCAAAATGGTTTTACTTTTTCTGAAACCACTATCACCAGATAATAGATTTCTGTTCAAGATGTGCGCTGCTTTTTATTGTTTCTGTTTTCCTACCAAAGGACCACAAACTAGCTTGAAGCTATATTTGGTTTTTTTTTTTTATAATTTGTGTTTTTTTTTGGAATATGTTCCTTTATAACACATTTTAATATCAGTGTAAATCATATAGACAACACCAATGTATCTGTGAAATGACAATATGTTCTTATACAATTGGTTGGTCTCAAATGAATTGTGAAAAGTACAAATTGACATTATCTGTCTGTTCTCTCAGTTTAACTTAGTGACCGAGACGACATGTTTTCTCTTTACTGTTACTATTACAAAATACTAATAGAAAGTGAGTACTACTTGTGTCAAGCACAAATATAACATGGTCACTTCTGTTGGATAAAAACATTTCAGTGTGGATGATGAAGAAACGGTCATGTTTGTGAGATCTTTACACAAGCCTTCATCCTTCACAACACCTTCCACCTACAGTCCACTGCATGCTCACAGTAAACATGTGCCATACCCATGGAGACAAGCTCATTTGAAATTTAATTACAGCATTTTGCTGCATTGGCAGTGACAGATTCACTATTATACTGACCCAATCAACATAATGTGACATATCACTTTCCAAGAGGTCGTAGCAAGGACCCGATGCTGGAGGAGATTGGTGTCTAGCTCAGAGATACGTTACCAGGGCAAATACAAAATCTGGACTCCTGGTACTTTGTATGAAAGACAGTAACTCTGCATAAAGCACACAGTGCCCTCTCCCTGAACTCCATCAGCTCCTATGGCATCCATCCAGTGGCTACCTGCTGCATTCGGGACAAGAAGCTGAGCGTTTGGAGCATTAGCTCAACTTCTTCAATCAGCTTTATTCAGTTCACGAGTCAGGACATTAGCAGAATATCAACAATATGTGATTGTCTTGTTCCTCCGCCACATATTGGCGGCATGTCATTAAACACCTTAACAGTGTTGATCGTATTAGGGAAATTAAGTTTACTGTGCTGTGGTCATCATTGTACATGTATGTGATTCCATTGTCTGTGAGCGTGGCAGATGTGACTGGAAAGGAGACTCAATGAGTGCTGACCTTGCGTTCTTTGTCTCCATACTCCAGGCCCAGTGTGTCCATGGCACGGACAATGGCAGCCAGAGATTGGATGGTGTTGCTGTAAACGACAGGCTTGTACTGCTTAACGTCATCACCAGAGAAGCCGTCCTCGTGGATGATCCTAAATACACAGAAACACACACACATTAGTCAGTATTAGGGAAATTAAGTTTACTGTGCTGTGGTCATCATTGTACATGTATAAATGGATCCTGACGATATGGAGTTTTGACGACCTAGGCCGATATTGGGGAGTAAAACTTTTCCATTACCGATATATTTACCGATGAATATATACCAAAGATGTCATTATCAAACCCTAATGACAAAGAAATGTATAAAGTTTATAAATAAATAGAAAACACAAATACAACCAAATATAAACCCTGAATTTAGAAAACACTTTTTCAGTCAAATATAAACATAAATGCACATCTTTTCCACATTATATATTCTGTTACGTACATTTGTATCTGCAAACATAAACCCTGTCACCAATATGTCTGCACGCTGGTCTCATATCAGCCCACCAATGAATCCAGTAATATTACTACTTCACCAGACTGTCAATTATCAGTAAACAAAGTGAGCGAGCCTGAAAATAGGGTAGGTGGAGGTATATTAGAAAGGTTAGATGAATAAAGGTTTTGGGAGAATGGAGGTGGGAGGTTGCACAGAAGCACAGGTGGTTGAAGGAGGAGGGTTACAACAAAAACACAAAGGCAATAGAGCAGGACAGGGGGGAGGTTGGGGGGAGGCAGGGGAGGGTCCGTAAACAGTAGGCTAAGCTGACATTTAGGCACACAGTGCCCAGCAGCAGCCTATCCTGCTGTTTTAAATGTCATGCTATCTTTTACTGCAGCTAAGGACACACAGAGAGGCCGACCCAAAGAAACGTATTCAGACAGACAGATGGACGGATGGACAAGGTCTGAGAGAAATGAGAGAGGAATGGGCAGCCAAGAACAATATGCAGGACACCAGAAAACAATCCTCAGATAAAGACGGGCAGATATGGGTTGGGCAACGTGATGTACGACGACAACCCCACACACACACACACACACACACTAATCAGGGCGAACAAACCGAGCTTCTTCTCGAAACACAGCTTCAAACAGCTCCATCACATTTTCAGTGCATTTCTCTGGATCGCTCACTATCCTCTGGTATAAATGACTATTATTGTGGCTCTGCCCTCCTGAAACCTCCTGACACAGCACATAGATTAGCCGATGGGCACACCACCCACTAATCTCTATGGTGAAAGAAATCCTGTTTTAGTCACCTGCCTATTAGATGTCAGCCAGGCAGTCGATAACCTGTCCACGTCTCAAAACAACGAGCTGACTGACTGGATGCTAATGAGCTAGTGTCAGAGCTCTCAGGTCACGACGAACACATGTACCATGACACCCAGCTGTGCTTTCGAACAAAGCTTAAGTGTCACAATTTCCAAGTCTTTGGAAAAAAAAAAATAAAAGAGAGGTTTAGGACACAAGTGTTACTCAGGAAGAAGCAATAGGCCAAGTACAAACCCAGGAAACCAAAAGAAACTAAAATTAAACGAATACAACTGAAAGGAACAAATGAAGCCATTGTAGCAGGCCCACATGTGCAGCACTGTTGAGCCCCAGAGCAACTGTTTAAAAATAATCAGGATTTTCTGTCCTTTGAGAAATTACAAAGGACAATTTTCACTAACACAAATCAGAAGCATGGAGATTTAAAGGTACAGTGTGTAGAATGTTGTCATATCTAGTGATGAAATTGCATGTTGCAGCTGAACACCCCTCACCCTCTCCTTCCAAACATGAAAAAGTAACTGTGGTAGCTTCAGTTGACATAAAAACTCAAAAGGTGTTTAGTTTGTCCAGTCTGGATTTGTGTAAAAAAACATGGCGGCCTCCTTAGAGAGGGTCCCCTCGATGTACATATAAAGTATTTAAATATAAAGGGCCTTTTCTGAGTAAAGAAAACTACAATTCATTCAATATAGATGAAACAAACTAGTAAAAACATCATGAGGATTATTCTAAACTAAAGCCTTTAATTGATCTGTGACGGATCAATTAAAGGAATATTGGCTGATATGAGACTTTCACAGACATACTGGCATCAACGATTATGTTAGGCAACATGAAAAAATTTATTCTACACAACAAACAATGCAGAACATGTGGTTCCTATTTGATGTAGTAAAACAAATTAAAAGTTATTAAAAATAAATTTAAAACCGAAATAAGTATCTTTAAAGAAAACTATATAATCTTACATGGGTTATTGTTGAAATAACAGCAACAACATGGCATTTTCAAATAGTGGGGACAGTGGGAATTCATTTCACACATTGTAATTGTCATCTTTGTACACACACACAGCTCTCTGTATCCTTCACAGTGTAGTTCGGAGTCTTTCTGAGTGCGTGTCCTGACAACTGGAAAACACGTGCCACTATACATCTGTATGCAAGTTTGTGTGTGTGTATTTGTGGTCTCATGGACAGAAGATTGTCGGGCAGTGTAACGTTTCAGATCAATCAGGCAGCCTGCCAGTTCTATATAAATACACCAGGCTTCTATTTACATCGGTGACTTTCACACAGGGGGGGCAAAGGACAGATCTATACACTGGAACTAGGATATATAAATACTTTATTCCTAATGTATCTGTATGATGTGCACATCAGCTCACATGTCCGACCCTGCATGGACGCAAACTGCATCACAGCATAAAAACCGATCCCACATCTTATTTGCAGCTCTGAATATGCTGCCCTGACTTTTAGTCTTCTCTCTCTTGTCTCACTCAGTTTTAATGAGCTGCCAACCTGACACTTTTCCTTCCATCTTTCTCTGCACCACAAAGGTGAAAAAAGGACAAGCATCCAATTAAGAGAAGTGGATGTCCTGAGTGAAAGTTCTATGTTTTATTGATCCGTCCATCCACCCCGACCACTTCCTGTCACGCACTTTATAGCTCTTTAGACTGCGTCACCTGACTTCCTCCTTTTGTTTCCCAGCAGAATTACTAAAGCTGCAGGAGGAACAATTAAACATAATTGACCTATGGGGTCGTTTTCAACAAGAGGACGGTCTCCATGCTTCAGGCTTTGACACAATAACCTTAAAAGTGGAACCAGGGACCTCTGAAATTATGAAATTTCAACCTGCTCTAAAGTTATGACAGAAACATTTGTGTGCAATTTTAAAATATGGTAAAAGAAACAAAAGAGATTTTACCAAAATATGTGATCTTTAGCTGGTTTCAGTAAAACTCAGTGTGGGGTGTTTATGGATAAACAAAGCAGAATCATTTCTGTCTTGGTAGAAAGTCTATTGACCCACAGAGGGACCGAGCAAGAAAAAAAAGAACAGTTACAAAATATACAGATTACATTATAAAACCAGGGGAAATTACAGATTAGTGTTTTGGCAAGTGTTGTTAAAAGGTGTGTTGCAGTGTCGCAGCTTTCCTCGTGACTGTACGTGTCGAGCTGGCAGGCCCGCTGGACGTGAGCTTCCATGCAAGAGAACCTTTTCTCATTACCCACTCTCCAAGCCCTTCTGTCAGCAAAGAGAGTGTGCGTGTCTGTGTGTGTGTGTGTGTGTGTGTAATTTCCTGTAGCTTTGGCACAATCCGTACGGTGACCTGAAACATAGTTTAGTTTCACACTGAGGCAGACAGATGGACAGAGAGACAGACATATGGGCAATTTAACAATGATATTATTCCATGATATTGTTGTTTGGCTGCCATTTTGGAGGCTAAGTAGCAGATGTTCAGTGTAATGACCAATGTCGGCAAGCAATCAGACATGATCAATATGTGTGGTGGTTTTACATGACAATTATATTCTGTCAATTTCAGATTTAATTTTTTGGTTGTGTGAAACTAATCTGATAATTGACTTATGGGCCATTATTAAACATTGGTAGTTTATCTCAATTGCTGATGACACTTACTACTGTACATTGCTGCTCAATAGTGGTGCAGCAAATGAGCTGTGAAGGCTCGATTGGCAGGCACCACAACTGACTGACAGGGGACTTGCATGAGCTCAACCCACCTCAACTCCAGTCATGTGGTATGTTCTGCAAATGAACTCCACAAAGTCACGATACAAAAAGGTGCGTAAACTTAATCAGTGATAAGTGAATGATGAGAAAATCCTACTTCAGTGCTGAAGCAAACACCTTAGTATTCCCAGGATCTTTCTCGAGGTGTCTCACCATTAAATGTCATCTTTTTGAAATGTTCCCTGCAGCTCCTCTAGTTCTATTCTGCATTGCATTGTGGGAAATTCGAGTCCATCAATGGCACATTTTCAGATAATAGCCACTTTGAGTAAACACACTGTCTACGATTGGTATATTTGAGCATTTTACCTTTGTGAACGTATAGTCAAGACCTGCGGATGATTAGTGTGTGAAACAAATTTATGACACAACTGTGCTTTGAGATTTCTGGTTCTAAAGTCTAACAAAGATAGTGAAGCATTAATCTCACACACAGAAAAAGAAGAGAAGAGTAAATACCTTAAATGGTCAAAGGCGTTATTTTCTTTATAAGATGATGAGTAAGGAGGAAAGCCTCTTATCTTTGAAATAAGCTTTTTCAGCAGACTTGTTTGTTCAGCAGTGTATCTGCCTTTGAGATTTGCACTGTGCCAGAAATGATGTCCACATCAGCAGATATTAGCATCCGCCTGCGAGCTAAACCAGCCACGCCAATTGGCCAGTTTAAAGGCAATTAAGTAATGACAACCAGGCCTTGATACCGGTTCCTGCGGGACCTGGAGTCCATCAAACCGACCTTCAAAACCTCCTCTCAGGTGTCAACATTTTGGGACAAAGACATGTCCACAAAGCTTACTGTATTATCTGTGGGTTTTATATTAAGGATTTATCCACAACTTGAAAAACTCTCAGAGCAGGCATACCTTCACCAAGGCTAATGCCCTATCTTGCCACGTTAAAGAAAAATAGAATGCCTCCATTGATTCTGTAGATTTGAGAGACCCTGTTCATTGTCAAACTGACGATAACATACTCTCCTTGACAGAATAAAAAAAAAAAAAAATCACTGAAATCAAGTGACTATAATGTCAAGGTGACTCCT